CATATATATACACATATATATTACTGAATCCCCTTAATCTTATCTTGAGTGGCTCACAGAACCACAAATATCCACTGGCAATGAAGTCAGTACCAGCAACAAACTCTTAACACTTCCCATTTTTAGGTTTATAGGAGACCAACAGCTTTCTTTCCCACAGTGACGGCAGAGATTTGCAGAGCAGATGTCTTGGTGTGAAACTGCTCCCTCGAGGTGACTCACAAATGTTTGCCGACAAATCTAGTCAAGGGTTGACCTTCCTTCTATCTGCCTTCCTGCGCCAGGTTGGGAAGACTGCAAGGCCCTACCCTGCACTGTGTCTGCAGATGGCAAGGCTTGCTTGCTCTTCTGTCTGATGGCGCCAAGCTGCAAATGGAAAGCCCCGAGGCTGGAAGGAGCAAGCTGCTCCTCTCTGGATCTGTGCAACGTTGCTCTCATGCAAAAGGAGGCTCGAGAGAGTGATCCAGGCTGCCACCTGGTACGGGCGGCCTGTCTGTATGTAGTTTCATGTTTCCCGATCTCATGCCCTCATGGGCCACTCCGGAGGGCAGGCACACCTTTGCTCTAGGTTGGTCTGGCGATTACAGGTCTGGGCTTCAAAGCCGGTTACAAACCTAACTAATTGCAGCCTGGGGGAGCTGGGCGAGCAGGCCAAGCTTGCTCAAGTGGGCAAGCCGGGCGGTGGGGCTATAGCTGGGTTGTCACCTGCAACTTGAGGTGCGGATGTTGGAGCTAGGGTTTCTGCGGGATCACCCGTAGTCCTCCTTACTCCAGGAGCCCACGCCTCCCCTCCCGGATCTGGCCCGCGTCAGCAGGGTCAGGTGGAAATCTCCCCATTCAAACCAGCGCGGGCCAATCAGGGACTGGCGCGCCCGGCCGTTCCAACGCGCGGCGCAGCCGGCCCGGGATCCCGGCGGGAGGAGGTGGGGGGACGGCTTAGTCTGCTGTCTGGGGTACCTGCAGCCGCACAGCCACCGCCTGGGGACAGACCCCCCTGCCCTGTAACAACGGGGAAGCCATGGAGCGCTCCCTGCACCGCGTCTCCCTCGGGAGCCGGCGCGCCCACCCGCACTTGTCCTTCTATCTCACCACCTTTGGTAAGTGCCTTTGGGTCAGGCTGCCAAGTGGACTGCTTTCTTGCCAGAAAGGCAAGCGCCCACCATGGCAGGGAGATTCTGAGCAGGTGTTCTTCCCGTTCGGAACGTTCTCTGGCCTCTTCCTCCAGGCTCAGCAAGTCAATGGACACCACCTGCTGCCTGGCCGCAGCTGCCAGCTGCAGTTGGTTCTGCCTCACTTGGCTGGGATAATCATGCTCCAGTTCATCTTTCAGAGGCCTGCCTTGTAACCACGGATCTCCCCATTAGCCAGCTCTCAGGTTAAATCAGGATCTAGTTACTGTGTCAGGGCAGCTCAATCACCTGCCTCCTTTGGTACAGTGAATAGATGGGAAGGGTCAAGTCCGGGCTGTTGTCTTGTGGGTCCACTTTGGAGGCTGTTATCTAACTTCCCCCACTGGATATCTAACTCACGGTCAGTGGAGACGGGAGCTGTCTCTTCTCCAAGACTGACCTTAGGAGAGCATCTGTGCTGAAGTGAACAGAAAGGGATAGTAGGCCCTAAAAGTCCCAAAGTTGCAGATTCTTTGTTCCTCCAAATCCCAGTAGGACAGCAGCTGTCCAAAAGGCCTGTGCAAACCTGGTCTTCCAAGGAAACATAGTAAGCCTGGCATAGCTTTTTATTTTCCCCCTGCCAGGAGGGACTTGTTCCTCTGCAAAGCGGTGGGCTGGGTACCTGAGTCAAACCTTCCCAACCATGCTGTTTTAACTTGTGCACAGTTTCTTTATGGAGTGGTTACTGCAACCAAAGCAGACTTATCCAGATTTCAAAGGCAGAGCACACAAGGAACTGGACCCCCAATAGGGTTCTTGGCTGCCCTGCGTTCTAGCTTATCCCAGGCTCCTCACAGTTTGCTGCCCTCCTGCCCTAGCAGGCAGAGTGATATCAGGGAAAGTTGAACTGCTAGACATGGGTTGCGATCTCTGCTTGGCCTTCACTGGTCCTGGTGCTGGAGGAGGAAGAGGAGGAATTTACTATCCGTGTTTGTTGAGCGCCCACTAGGTGCATGACTTGTCCCCAGGGTGCCACCTGAGTTGCCTCATTTAATGTTCCCAAACCCTACAAGCCAATCTTATTAAGCCCAGTGGGACACAGGGCTCCTGGAGACTAGGGAGAGTTCCAGCTGAGAGGGTCAGGGAGTTATAAGCTTTTCCAGGCCTCCATCCGAAAGTTAATAAAGCCTCTTTAGTTTTACAGTCGCCAGGTAGCTCCACCTGCTCATTCCTAATTTTATCAAAATTGACATCATTCTGCATGCACAGTTTGAAACAGTTCTTTACACAGCTGATGATATGAATATTTCTTTGCACCCACGCTGTGTTCCTTTGTCAACTAGGGCAGGGGAGGGTCCAGCCCCAGCAGGGTGTGGATCCGCCAGGCTGGCCATGGTTTCTGGGTTAGGAACGATGGCTATCAAGTGGATAGCTTCTTGGACCCATGGCTGTTAGCAGAGTGTGCAGGAGGCAGGCAGGAACTGAGGAGAAGGGGAGCCCCCTGCTTGTTTTATGCAGTTTCTTCTTGGATCTTTATGACACTAGTTTGAATGCTTGAAAATATTTCCAGGTCTGTTTCCTGAGCGCCATTTGCCATGGTGACCTTATTATTGGGCTGCTAATTGTTACTGGGCACTGAATGATCTTTGCTTCTGGTTCATGGCGATTCCTGTTAGTGGTTACTAAACAAGCCCAGAAGTGTTTTTGGACTTTTAGTTGTGGTGGTGGAGACTGAACCCAGGGCTCAACACTAGGCAAATGTTCTACCCCACTGGGTTATGCCCCAACCCAGCGCAGGTTCCCAGGGGCCTCTCCCAGAGAGTAAGTTTTAATAACTGAGTGTATCCTGAGACTCTAACCTTTAAAGACTTCCTAGGGTATTTTGAACATGAACCAGACTTGGAAGCTCCGCATTCCAGGTCGGTTTTGGTAGCCAATGTGGGTCCTGTTCGATGCAAATATCTTGGCTAATTTTCCTGGCTCCTCAGCCTCTCCTCGACTCAAGCAGCCCCTGGCCTTTAACAGTGAATTTCACCTTGGAGGAACCTGGTGATGATGCTGCAAACATTTAAAGGAGGTGGAAGCATTTCTGGAAACACAAAGGGAAAAAATATGTCAATCAGAATTCCTTACAGGAAGTCTCTCTCTCTCTCTCTCTCTCTCTCTCTCTCTCTCTCTCTCTCTCTCTCTCTCTCTCTCTCTCATCTGTGTGTGTATCTCTGTCATTTTCTCTCTCACCTCCACACACAGAATGGGTATCATGAGCACAACCCCTGTTTCCCAAGGAGGGGCAGGTCATCTAACACTCATTGCTTCTGAGAATTTAGCTGACTTCAAGGGAAGGTGTATACAAGCTGAGGCCAGGACCCAGCTAGTTCTTCTTTATTGCAATTTGAAGAACTCATTGTAGGTGTTTGTGGTTGTATTTTCCAGGATCCTGCCTCTTATGTTGATTAGGGTATTTGTTAATTTTGTGCTAAGAGTTCTGCTGTGATGTAACTCTTATGAACACAGTTTACTCATTGGAAATGTACAACTCCATAGTTTCGAGTATATTTGTAGAGTTGTACAACTATTATGGTCATCAATTTTATAATTTTTCCATTACCCTTTAACTTATTATTTATAATCCCCACCCCACCTCATCCCAACCCCAAACAATCACCACTGTCTTTTTTCTGCCTTGATATGTATGCCTCATTGGGGGGATTTTATGTAAATGGAAACTTGTGTGTTTTTCTCTTTTTTTTGTTTTATTTTATTGATATTTATTGAGCTCTACATTTTTCTCTGCTGCCCTCCCTGCCTCTCCCCTCCCCCTTCAGCCCTCCCCCCAGGTCCCTATGCTCCCAATTTACTCAGGAGATCTTGTCTTTTTCTACTTTCTACTTCCCATGTAGATTAGATCTATATAAGTCTCTCTTAGTGTCCTCATTGTTGTCTAAGTTCTCTGGGATTGTGGTTTGTAGGCTGGCTTTCTTTGCTTTATGTTAAAAAACAAACTATGAGTGAAAAAATGTGATAATTGTCTTTCTAAGTAAAGGTTAACTCACTCAAAATAATGTTTTCTAGCTCCATCCATTTTCCTGCAAAATTCAAGATTTTTGTTTCTGCTGTGTAGTACTCCATTGTGTAAATATACCACATTTTCCTTATCCATTCTTCAGTCGAGGGGCATTTAGGTTGTTTCCAGGTTCTGACTATGACAAACAAAGCTGCTATGAACATAGTTGATCACATGTCCTTGTGGCACAATTGAGCATCCTTTGGATATATACCCAAAAGTGGTATTACTAGGGTCTTGAGGAAGGTTGTTTCCTAATTTTCTGAGAAATCACCACACTGACATCCAAAGGGATTGTACCAGCTTGCATTCTCACCAGCAATGCAGAAGTGTTCCTTTTTCCCAACAACCTCTCCAGCATAAGTTGTCATCAGTGTTTTTGATTTTGGCCATTCTTACAGGTGTAAGATAGAATCTCAGAGTTGCTTTGATTTGCATTTCTCTGATGACTAAGGATACTGAACATTTCCTTAAGTGTCTTTCAGCCATTTTAGATTCCTCTGTTGAGAGTTATGTGTTTAGGTCTGTACTCTATTTTTTTTATTGGATTATATGTTCTTTTGGTGACCAATTTCTTGAATTCATTGTATATTTTGGAGATTAGATCTCTGTTTGATGTGGGGTTAGTGAAGATCTTTTCCCATTCTGTAAGCTGTCATTTTGTCTTGTTGACCGTGTCCTTTGCTTTACAGAAGCTTTTCAGTTTCAGGAGGTCCCACTTATTAATAGTTTCTCTCAGTGTCTGTGTTGCTAGGGTTATATTTAGGAAGTGGTTCCCTGTGCCAATGTGTTTAAGTGTACTTCCCACTTTCTCTTCTATAAGGTTCAGTGTGGCCAGCCTTATGTTGAGGTCTTTGATCCCTTGAGTTTTGTGCATGGTGATAGATATGGGTCTATTTTCATTCTTCTACATGTTGATATCCAGTTATGCCAGCACCACTTGTTAAAAATGCTTTCCTTTTCCATTTGATATTTTTTGCTTCTTTGTCAAAAATCAGGTGTTCGAAGATGTGTGGATTAATATCCGGGTCTTCTATTCGGTGCCATTGGTCCTCCTGTCTATTCTTATGCCAATACCAGGATGTTTTCATTACTGTAGCTCTGTAGTAGAGTTTGAAGTCAGGGATTGTGATGCCTCCAGAAGTTCTTTTATTGTACAGGATTGTTTTGGCTATCTTGGATTTTTTGCTTTTCCATATGAAGTTGAATACAGTTCTTTCGAGGTCTTTGAAGAATTTTGCTGAGATTTTGATGGGCATTGCATTGAATCTGTAGATTGCTTTTGGTAAGATTGCCATTTTTTACTATGTTAATTCTACCTACCCAAGAGCATGGGAGATCGTTCTGCTTTCTGATGTCCTCTTCAATTTCTTTCTTCAAAGATTTAAAGTTCTTGTCATACAAGTCTTCCACTTGTTTCATTAGAGTTACTCTGATATATTTTATGCTATTTGTGGCTATTGTGAAGGGTGTTGATTCTCTGATTTCTTCCCCAGCCCTTTTATCATCTGTGTACAGGAAGGCTACTGATTTTTTTGAGTTAATCTTGTATCCTGCTACATTACTGAAAGTGTTTATGAGTTGTAGAAGTTCCTTGGTAGAATTTTTTGGATCGCTATGTAAAATATCATCAGCAAAGAGTGAGAGTTTGACTTCTTTTTTTTTTTTAATTTGTATCCCCTTGATCTCCTTTTGGTGTCTTATTGCTCTAGCTAGGACCTCAAGAACTATATTGAATAGATATGGAGAGTGTGGACAGCCTTGTCTTGTTCCTGATTTCAGTGGAATCGCTGGGAGTTTCTTTCCATTTAGTTTGATGTTGGCTGTTGGCTTGCTGTATATGCCTTAATTATGTTTAGGTATGTTCCTTATATCCCTGCTTTCTCCAACACCTTTATCATGAAGGGATGTTGTATTTTGTCAA